TATACATATATATATATATATATAATTTTTTAAAAAGAAGGGCTGGGGAGATAGTTCAATAGAATAAGTGCTTGCCTGGCAAGCACAGGGGCCTGAGTTCAATCCCCAGTTTCGCAAAAAAAAAAAAAAATCTCAGTTCTTCATAATCAACTAAAGTAATGGACAATTAAAGAGAGATAACAGCATCAGCATTATCTCATTTTTCATCTACTACTCTATGAGAAGTGCTCATAGAAAACTCAAATGGAACAAAAAAAATTGGTTTTCCCTCTTTCAAGCCCTCTGGTGGAAGTATTAACAAAGGACAAAGCATAAAACATCAAAGAAAAATGGAACATCATGGATAATATTAAAACCAAAAACTCTGTTCTAGAATAATTGAAATGCACTATATTTAATGGTGAGAAATTACAACTACAATTAATTTACACTGAGGCTTTTAAAATAAAGGGAGTGGGTAGGAACTGTTGGTCATCACCTTTAAAAGTCAGGTATGAGGGCTGGAGAGATAGCTCAGTGGTCTAAAGTACCTGCTTAGACAAGCTTAGGCAAAGCGCAGGGACCACAGTTCGATCCCCAGCACCACATGCCACTGCAGTCCTGACCCGAGTGGGCTGAGCTGGCCAAAAAAAAAAAAAAAAAGTCAGCTATGATAGGGGCTGGGGAGATAGCTCAGTAGAATAAGCACTTGCCTGGCAAGAACAAGGGCATGAGTTTAATCCCCAATTCCGCCAAAAAAGAAACAAAAGCCAGATATGACAATTCAGACATTTAAAAGAAACTACAGAAAACTGGTCAGGAAGACTGTACATTCTTTGAAAAATTAAGCTGTACGACTAATTGTTTAAAAGTTTAAAGGAAAACATTAATATAGTACTGGGGAAAGAACTTGGATGAAATTAATTCATTATCTATGTTGGCCTCAGTCACACATTTTAAAAGAGGGGAAAACACTGAGAAGACAAAAATGAAATTTTAAAGAACACAAGCTCAAGGCAGTAGTCTTAAATTCACGATGTAACTAGAAACATTATGTTAGAATACTGTTGTTCACGACTAAGAATTTTGTCCAGTATGGTAATAACAATAAGCTTGTCTTCTTGATGGTTAACAACCTAAGTTTGCAAACCAAAATTAGAGAAAAAGGAGGGCTGCAAGGAAAGACAACATTTTGGCTCTAGCCTTCCAAGGTCAATTAAGACTCAGGACATATGAGAACTTGTACTGTAACGTCATGTAACTCAGTAGTGTCCCAAATTTTCTGATCAAGGAGATTATAGGGCCAAAGAGGAAAGTGATTGATGATGTAGAGTGTGCCTAAGGAGAGTTACATGGAGAGAAAGCATTCTCTCAGGCTTTCACAGAGAGCACATTGGCAAAGCAATGGTCGTGACTCATCCACTTGGCTAACACTGACAAAGGTTCTACAATCTGAGGTACAGGATCTCAGGATAAATCCTGAGGGGATTTCACTGACCTTATCAGACCCAAAAGCTACAA